TGTGGTTTTCTTATCTTTCTAAAATAAGAAGGTGCATTCTTAAGCCCCTCGTCTGACTTTGCTTCCTATTAAGCCTTGCGACCAAGCGGTTTTTCTCCCTGTGTCTCCGGACTGTTCCTACACCTGGGTGTTTGCTCCCTCCCACATCTCCCCATTCACCTGTCTAGAAAGTAGAGCCAATATCCTATAAACAGAAGTGTTGCTTTTGAAACCTGTGACCTCCATGGAGACATCCCGTCTGAGCCTACTCGGCTGTGACAGCGGCCTCCAGTTCTCCAGCTTTATCCATGGCCCTAGGAGCTCCACAGAGCCTTCCTTGCAGCTCTGTTCCTGCGGTTCATGAGCTCTCTCCAGCCTCTGCCTCCACCAGCAAGAGGCTGTTTCAAAGTCTGGCTTTCAGGCCAGCGGTACCTCAAGAGTTAGATTCTGCCTCTCTGTCCATTCCCTGCAATTAGAGTCAGCAGAATCGGACTCTCCGTCTGGCTTTCAGTCTCTCCTTCACATGCTCCCTGTTGGCTCACTCTCAACTTCATGGTCTCTTATCTTCAAACCAGTCCAGGACCCCAAAGGCCCTGGCCCATTTTCTGTGTATGGGAGCTGAGTTCAGACTACCCAGGTTAACTGCATCTCTTCATACACGCTGTTGTTGTATTTCAGCCAATGGGACTTGACCTGTGGTGACCCAAATCTACCGAACAACGATCCTCTTGTAACTATTGATCCTTGATCCGGCTCATCCACCCTTGTGATTCATATTTATATTATCCCTGACCTCCTTCTGTTCTCCAAACCTATAAGTTGCATTAGTCTTAGTACAGCTCTTGGATTTTGTACACTCAGAGAAGTTTATTTATTGATGTGTTATTTCATCTTGCAGGCACGTATTGAACAGCTACCAGCCGGCACTGTAAATAGTCAGAGACTAGTCAGGGGGTTAGACAAAATAAAGGGCCATGTCAGTTAGTACACTTTTTATTACTAGTGACGGAAGTCCTGATTCACTGCTAAAGCAAAAATGGAATGTATTCCCTCACATACCTGGCAAGTCTAGGGATGGATCTGGTTTCCTTCAGGCACAGCTGGATTGATGGATCATAAATGCCACCTTTGGGACCTGGCCTGTCTTCATCTCTCAGCTCCACTCTGTTCTACTTTGTGATGGCTTCATTCTCATGGCAGCAAGACAAATGTTAACAGTGCCAGGCCTACCCCCTCCTAGGTCCCAGGATAGTAGAAAAAGCACTGCTCTCTCAGCAGCCCCAACAAATGTCCCACTATATCCTGTGATTTCTTACTGGGTGAGGTGCTCTTCCCTGAACAAATGACTTTTGTCAGAGAAATTTGATGCTGTGTCTGTTTAGACTGGACTCATAGGTCCTCTCCTTAGAATTGAGTATGGAGTCTACCCCAGCACTTAGGTTGAGAGACAGATACAGTGGTTCCCCTGGAGAAAAGGCAAATGGATGTGGGATGCTTGGGATGTTTGTTTGTTTGTTTGTTTGTTTGTTTTAGGGCTTTTTTTTAGGGGGGATGGTTTTTTAAAAGCTGTCAGTTAACAGTCATTATATTTATGAAAAGTGCATATGACAGAGTTACAGAGTTCAATATAGCAAATAAAGCATTTGACTTCATGTACAATAGACAAAGAAGGATTCCCTCCTCCTTTATGCCCCACTCTTTCCTTTGAGAAAAATTCAGTGAGTGCCTTTTTTGTTCCAGGTACAGAATATAAATAGTCCAAGACATCGACCCTGCCCATAAGGAGCTTTCAAGGTAGTGAGGAGAAGAGAGAATAAAAGCAAGGCCCTCCACATTGATCAATAATGTCCATTTAAGAAATAAAAATATAAAGATTATTTCTGTGTTTTTTATAAAATTTAAAAGACATCGTCAACCATTACATTGTGTAACATTGTTTAACATCTTTTTTTACTTCTGTTTTGTTCAATGCTTGGAATAAGACTTTCTGATCTCCTTCATTAAATAGCGGAAACTCCATAATCCACAATTTTTAAATGTGTTTGCCTAGGCTTCTATAAAACTCGGAATTAAAACCTGTGGTTAATGAAAATAGCTTTCCTTAGCCTAAATTTTCCTTGAGATTAATTTGCCCTTTTTTAAAATACTTGATTTATGGTTTTATCATACCTAGGACTTAATATAGTAAGGTGCTTCAAAATAGAGATACAACAGAGGTAAACAAATGAATACATTTAACTTTGACTTTTATCTTCAGTCTCTGCTTCTGATCTATAGCAGGTTGCTATACATCTCCCACTAATGCCCCGTCATTTCCCTGCCTGTATACAGACATTTCTATCAGGGTGTTCGCAGTTTGTGTATACAGAGAGTGAGATGAACACATGTGGATATGTACATTTTTTAACGGCAACAAACATGAAAATATTTCTGTGACATTGAAGACCCAACAAGTAATCTTTACGTTATTTTTTAGCTGTAGGTTTTCTTTTATTCTGTACAATGGAGAAAAAGATTGAGAAAAGCAACAAATAATCCCAGGTTTAGGGAACACATTAATGCAGTGACTCCCCACTGCGGACATTTGGCAATGCCTGCAGACATTCTTAATTGTCTTGACTACTGGAATCTTGTGGGTAGAGGCCAGGGATGCTATTAGACATCCTACAATGTGCAGGACAGGCCACCACAATGAAAAATTATCCTGTCCAAAATGTCAATAATGCCACTATTGAGAAACTTTGCATTAATAGGATTTTTGGAATTCTAAACCCTGAAAGGATTCAGAACAATCTTGTAATTTAGGCATAAGACAACACTAGAGGCAAATTAACATCGTTGAATTAAAAAAAGAATCATGGAGCTGACAGGGAAGATCATTCAGTCCAGTCTCCCCTGGTGTATGGTAACTGAGTCACAAGAGAAAAAGTGACTGAAGCACTAGAACTCCTCCACTCCTGGGGCGCCTGGCTGGCTCACTCAGTTAAGCATCCGATTCATGATTTCTGCTCAGGTCCTGATCACAGGGTCATGAGATGGAGCCTCGCATCAGGCTCCATGCTCAGCAGGGCATCTGCTCTGGATTCTCCGCTCTCTCCCTCTACCTCTCCCCACTGTGCTCTCTGTCTCTCCCTGTCTCTCAAATAAATAAATCTTTAGGAAAAAAAAAAGAACTCCTCCACTCCTAAACGTTGGATAAGGCAACTTGCCCAATCTCTCTGTACCTCAGTTTCCTTTTCTACAAAAGGGACAATAAAACTTGCCTCAAATGATTGCTGTGAGGAGTAATTGAAATTATGCATGTGAAATGTTTAGGACCGTTCCTGGCCACCATGAGCTATTGATAAAGAGTGGTGGTGAGAGCCGAGGTGGTGACTCATTACTGTTGTTGCCCAAGCTGACTGAACCCTGTTCCCGACTCTCAGTCCCATTTTCTTTCTAGTTCCCTGCCTTGAGGGTCTGTGAAGAAAGGTTCTAGGGGCAACTCAATAGGGATTAAAGAAGACTAGTCTGAAAAGCAGCTTAGTAGCTAGTGATTTAAGAAAAACTGAACAAAAATTCTTCATAAAGACAGGGAGTTAAATTGTAGGTAGACACTTTAAGGATGGCACCAAAAAAGATTGGTTCTCACCTGAAGCAGGCTACCTTCTCTCTTCCCAAAGTTCTGTGAATGGTGTGCCAGGTGGTCATGCCTCCAGGAAGGGTGGAGCCTCGGTAAGATAACTTGTATCAAACCCTTAAAAGCCCTGGAGATGCCTGACAGCCCTGACAGGTTGTCTGTCCATCTGGGAGAATCTGAAATGCCAAGATGGTGGGGCAGTGTGTCTGGGGACCCTTTCAACTTTAAGATTTCTTGATGTCTGATAAGTTTTGTGGACTTTGTTCTGGGAAGATCATGTGATGTGGTAGATAAAGTCCAATAGGCATACATAGACAACCATAACTCTCCTGTTTTATCATTTGTGGTATAAAAAAATGCTTTATTGGGGCACCTCAGTGTCTCAGTTGCTTAGGCGTCTGACTCTTGATCTCAGCACAGGTCTTCATCTCAGGGTCATGAGTTCAAGCCCCGGGTCAGGTTCCACGCTAGGTATGGAGCCTACTTTAAAAAAATGCTTTGTTAGGTTTTACTAATTCAGTCTATCTGTATGAGCATATGATTAAGATGTTTGTGCAAATACTTTTTTCTCTGAAAGTAATAATAAATTACTTTACCAATAATTCTGTGAAACAGGTTTCCTCTCATTTTCTTAAAAGACTTCTAAAATTCTTTTCAGTTGCTCTAGGAGTCGAATTTTTATTTCTCTTGTTGTTTTTGCCAACTAAATTGTTTTTAACCAGCGGCTTTCTATAAAAATTAGCAGAATTCAAAAGCATTAAACTCTCTGGACCACAAGCACAGATTAAATTTTCTGTAGGAAAATATGTCATTCATTTCGTAGCCTTCTCTCAAATATCCCATTTGTTGAATTGAACTCCTAAAATGATTCTATATCCCACAAAGATACTCCACATAGTCATTTAAAGACATTTTTTCTCCTATATCTTACATGTCAGTGCTCCAGCTGTTAGAAAGATGATTTTAAAAAATCAGTAAGAACAAGTTGATACATGAGAAAACAATGACTCACAGCTGACTTTATCTGTCTTCTGTGTTTTTGTGTGACATTCAAGATCCACAAAACATCTGGAGAAGAGCAGCACACACAGGTCCAATGAACGCTGGCTGAGCACTAGGTCTGGCTGTGCTAGACACCTCTGGTAGCACGGGGCACAACCTCAGGCCCAGAGAAGTTAAGCTATTTGCCCCAAGCCACACAGTTGGTAAGCAGGAGAGCCAGCAACACAGCCCTGCCTGGCTCCTGAGTGCATGTGTTTGCTTCATACTAGATCTTGACACAAAATAATTCAAGGGTTAGAATAATAAAAAAATCTCCTCTAAGATGTGACTGTTTTTCATTTTAAATGCCTCATTCAGATTGGTGTTATGTTAATTTGACCTTCATTTTTTTTTTTTTAAGGTGTTGTGTAATGGACCAGGAACATGTGTTCCTATCTGCATATCTGCCCTTCTCCTTGGGATACTAGGAATAAAGAAAGTGATCATTGTCTATGTTGAAAGCATCTGCCGAGTAGAACATTTATCCCTGTCCGGAAAGATTCTGTTTCACCTCTCCGATTACTTCATTGTTCAGTGGCCGGCTCTTAAGGAAAAGTATCCCAAGTCTGTGTACCTCGGGCGAATTGTTTGACAAATGACAGCTTACTTCTCTAGAATTTTGCAGTCAACCATATTTATTATAACTGGAGTAGAAAAAACTACATGTTTATTGTAAAGGCTTCTGCAGGTCCTGAGAATTATTGGTGGTGAAGAGTAAAAAATGTGTAAATAATCCAGTAAGGAGACTGAAGGTGCTCTTATAATACAAACATTAAGGGGCGCCTGGGTGGCTCAGTTGGTTCAGCATTAGATTCAGGTCATGATCTCAGGGTCGTGAGATAGAGCCCCATGTCAGGTTCCCCACTCAGCATGGAGTCAGATTCTCTTTCTGCCCCTCCCCCCACACGTGTGTGTTCTCTTTCTCTCTCAAATAAATAAAATCTTTTGAAAAAATTAAAAATAAAACAAACAATAAACCATTAAGTATTTATGCCTCTGTGCACCAAATTTCTTTTTTTTAATCACTACCTGCAAGTTATCTTCTGACTTGTTTTAATAATATTTTTCCTACAACTAAATATAGTATTATGATTAGCAACATTTCCTGTTCTGCAGCTTTTTTTTTTCTTTTACAATATTCTGCATTGTAAAAAGAAAAGAAAGATATTTCTTAGTTTTTGTTCAGATACAGGAGGCTCTGTTTCCTGTATGGAAGTAGTAAAGTCCCCAGTGAATCCTTTGAGCATAAAGGAAGCAGTCATATTACATGGGCTTCATGACAAGTTGCATTCCACAGGCTTCCAGAGCCATGAGCATAAACCAGGATCCTTTTTTGTCTTCAGTTTTGCTTTGTGAGTCGTTGCTCTCAATCCAGAAGATTGTTTGAAATCTCTTGTTGAATCATTAAAATAAATTAAAAGGTGACCACTGTCATAGTACTAAAAACGTGATTCTGTGGTTCAGGAATCCAAACTCTCAAAACAATTTTTTTTTAATGTTTTAGTAAATTCACAATGGTGAGGCTATCGTCATCCCTGGCATTTTGAGAGGTTTAGGCTCGGTAGAATATATTGATACTAAACATTTACTTGAGGGCGTGCTATATGCCAGGAATTCTTCTAATCACTTTTCAAATATTAACTCGCAGAATCCTAATAACAACTCAGTTACAGTTATTATCCCCCTGTTACAGATGATTTGTCTAAGATCACATGACCAGTAAATGGCAAAGCCAAGATTCCAACCCCAGCAGCCTGACTGGTGAGTGAAGCCCGTTTCAGGGGCCTGTGGCCTGTGCCATCATCACATAGGGACCCACACTCAGGTGAGCCCTGTGCTTGCTTTCATACTCCGCTGTCACTCTCAGATTTCTTAAGAGACGTGGAACAAGGGACCCGCATTTTATTTTGCACCAATCCCCACAAATTATTTCATTGGTCCTGCTTGAGAATCTGTGCTACGCTGTCGACTACCGACAGAAATACAACACAGAGTGCGGGCCGGCAGCCCCTCAACAAATGGGAATTCCGTCCCCTCCTTCTAAGCTCTCTTCTTTAACAGGGAGAAGACCTCTTGTAGCATTTGAGATTTTTATTTTCTCCTCTTAAATCTGTTTCAGAAGTATGATGTACATCTACTAGATGGTAAGAAATAAATGAAGAGAGGGAGTGCCCATGAAAATGCATGATTGCCTGAGAGATTGTACAGTCAACGTGCCGAGGCTGATCTAGCTTTTATTGCTCTTTGGGCAGATCTTCTCTGGATAAAGTAAGCACATCTGTCACTAGGACCTTTTCCTAGGTGTTCGGCTGAGAAAACTCTCAGAACAGGGAAACTATTTTGCTGTCTGGTTCAGTGGCCGTGGGGCAGCCAGAAGGTAGCTCGTCGTGTGCTTTGACTTTAATCGTCAAACGTTAGGTGCTGCCCCTGCTTCCATTGATGGAAAGGCCTGGAATGTCAGGTGACATTTCTAGGAGACATTTCTCTACTGTTCTAGAGAGAAAGTGATTTTTTTTTTTTTAAGGGGATAACAGCATGTACCATTTTTCCCTTTTGCATTTTGCTCTGCTCTGCACTTTGTTCCTAAGTGGCTTTAGGTAAATAGTTGATGTATGAAATTGAACTGTGTTCTGTTCTGTTTGTGCCTGTCTGTGCCAGCACCACCTACCGGACCCCAATCCTGCTGCGGGGGCTCCTGTCAGGCCAGAGTGCGCAGTGCTTAGGCCATGGAGAGTTGTTAGAAAAGATGCCATCATTTTTTCCAGAAATGTATGTCCCAGATGTTCTGTAGAGCCTTAACTTAAGCAGTGGTTAGCCTGGAATGTCAGAGGAAAAAAGTCTCATATGTGTTATATCACTAAAAATTGAGGACTATCTTCCTGGATTCCAACTGCCGTGCACACATTCAGAGTGAGGTTTGCTGGGGATTATTTGGTAAACAAGCGCCCGCCCGGCTGTGTGTTGTTGTTATGGCTAATTCAGGTCCTCAAGGTCACACTAGCAAAGGGGTGCAGCTTAGAAAACATCATGCTCCAGTCTCAACTCAAACTGAAGATCAGTAGCTAAGTAGTTAGCTTGTCCTTTCTGATTGCTCTGGAAACCGTCTGGAATGCACCTTTTACTGGAAGAGACTGTTCACGAAAAATTAATTGCATCAGTCTTTAAATGGGAGACAAGGAAACCACACATCCTGCCCACACCTACTTCCCTGGAAGATTTTTATCTACAGTTCAGTTGTCCTAAAGGGTTTCAGCAGCTTGCTCAGCTGAAAGTCTAACTATTTCAAATAGAACATCCAAAAGTCATCACGGGAAGCTTTAGCCAGGAACTTAGAGTGCTATGAAACCATGTCAACAAGAGGAATGCTGTACAGTTTTAGACTGAATAGCAAGTCCTTGCTAGAAAGGAGATGACCCTAGCTTTCCCGTATAAAAGCAACTTGAAACATGTTTGTTGGCTCTCCAAAGTGAGATTCAAACTGAGAAATGTACTACCCCCTTACTGTACGGTTCCTTAGACTGAATCAGTGCTTTTTCTTTTTTTTTCTTTTTTTTTTTTTTTTTTTTTGAATCAGTGCTTTACTACTTCTGCAAAGTCCCACCTCACCAAAAGGAGTTTGACAGCAAAGTCGTAAGCCTCTTTTATCCACAGGAAGAACATCATCATGAGGGTTAAAGAAGATTGTCCTTCTCCGTACAGCTCACTCCATACAGTGGGGACATGTGGAATTTCTTACCCATGATTTCAACTGTCCAGCAGTGAGCAGACACCTGGATTTTCTTGTCTGCCCTGAAACTTTCTTCCATTCAGCCCTCCACTCTAGTGCTCTAAAAACAAATTATCTACACTTACGTTCTTGCTGCCAACTCAGTTTAAACATGGATTTGACATAGCTCCCCTTTTCCCTTCCATAGTAGTCAACTGATGCTAGCCTCTGTCATCTCTCTCAAGCAACAACTTTGGAATAATTGTTGTTTTGTACTCTCTTTCCTTAATCCATATATAATTGGTTCCCCTCCCCTTTTTTTTTAATATCCCCAGATTTTTCCCTTGTCTTTCCATCCTCTTCTCTCCTTGTCATCTGAATTCACCTATTGGTTCTGCCTTTGAACTAGTTCACACCCACCCTTTCCTCTTCAATCCCATGGTCACAACCTAAGCTTGTTTTATTAGCACATTTGTTGAGGAACTGAGGCATAGAGAGATTAAGGACCTTATCCAAGATTCTATGACTAGAAAGTGGCGGAGCCAAGATTTGAACCAAGGCACGCTAGCTCCAGCCAGACTTACCTTAACAGCTAGGTTAGGTTTAAAAAAAAAAAAAAGTGCTAGGAAGGAGGTGAACAGGGTGCTGTGAAGGACAAGAAGGTACTGGGTACTCTAGAGAGAGATATCAGGAAAGACCTCTGAGAAGGATGTTTTAGCGGTAGTCTGAAGGATAAGCTTGAATATTTGTACTCCTCCTTCCACTTCCCCTCCCAACTTCCATTTCATCTCCGCCACAAACTTCCCCATCTCTCACAGCCTTGTTTCAGCTTCTTCTCTAAACACCTCGGTGACATAGCCACCCACACCTAAGGTTAGCACTGAGCTACAGACCTTCATATCGCAGTACCTTCTTCTTAGAAACACCTGTAGAGGGAAGAAATGAATGCTTCTGATAATTATTTCTTTATGTTCATGTTACATCAGGTACTATACCTCATACTTTCATGTTCTTGGTCCATTCTTGGTCACAGCTGCCACAGTTCTGGTCCAAACACGGGCACTGACTAACCATATAAATTCTCACACCTTCAGACTTTGTCTAGGCCTACTTAGTTACAGCTCATCTAGACCAACGTTCTCAAACTTTCTGGTCTCAGGACCTCATTATAGTCTTGAGAATTATCAAAGACCCAACCAACTTTTGTTTATGGTGACTATCTTCATCACTATTTACCATATTAGAAATTAAAACAGGGAAACATCTGAAACATGAGAATACACAGGACACATATCATTAGCTATCAGAGCAATGACATCCTCACATATCATGAAGCATCTAGAAAACTGTAAGATCCCGAGAGAATGGGCAAGAAAAAGGAAAATGACACCTTTGCATTATTATGGAAGTAGCTTTGACCTCATGGGCCCCTGAAAAGGTCTTGAGAACACCCCAGGGGCCCCTGGGCTACATTTGGAGAACTGCTCCCCTACATAATGGCACATCAGTAACTTCATCTCCATCAGCCTTTAGTCAGTCAATGATCTATGTACTAGTTTTCTATTGCTATGTAACAAATAGCCATGAATCAGAGGCTTCAGACAACACCTGTTCTCTCACTGTTCTATAGGTTAGAAATCCAGTCAGGAGATACCTGCCTCTCTGCTCAGGGTCTCACAAGGCTCTAATCAAGGAGACAGCCACAGCTGGGTTCAGATCCGGAACTCTGGACTTTCTTCCAAGCTTCTTCAGGTCACTACTGGCAGACTTCAGTTCCTTGTAGTTGTAGGACCCGTGGTGACCTGTTCCTTAAAGGCCAATGAGAGTCTCTACTGCTGTTTGTCTCTTTTAAGGGATGGATGTGACTGGGTCAGGCACACATAGGATAATCCACCTTTTAATTAACTCAAAATCAATTGATGAGGGACTATACATCTGCAAAATCCCTTTTGCTATATTAATGTAACATAATCAGGGGAGTTATAGCCCATGGTATTCACAGGCCCCACCAATGTATGGGATTATAAAGGTGGGACAGGGTGGAATATTGATGGCCATCGAGAATTCTGCCAACTACAATCTGCCAGAGGTGTTTTGTTTTGGGGG